GTCCTCACTAAGAAGGTGAAATTTTAACTAAGATATAGAGGAGGTGAAAGAAGAGAATTGAAGGCAGAGGGGCCAGTGCAAAGGTGCCTGTTGTATTCTAGAAATAAGGAGGCCAGTGTGCTTGGTGGATGAGAGGGGAAGAGGAACAAGAGGTGAGGTTGGAAAAGTAACTGGGGTCTAGACAGGGGTTTTAGTCAGCTTTGGTCTTTGTAAATTACTGTTGAACTTGACCTTTTATTCTGAGAAAATAGGGGAGCTGTTAGGAAGTTTGTAACCAAGGAGTGGCATGATCTGACTTTTATTTTTAAAGGCTTAGCTCTGACTCTGGTGTTAAGAATAGACTGTGGCAACAGGCACAGAGGTAGGGAGACCAGTTAAATGGCCTTTACTGGCAGTTTTCCAGATTAGCCATGATGATGGCTTGGACCAGGATGGTGGTTGAGTGTGTGATGAGAAGTGGTGGGCTCTCTAGCTGTGCATCAAATATGGAAGCCACTAGCCACTATGGCTATTGAGCACATGAAATAAGGCTGTAGCATAGTGCCTAAGGCACTTGACTGCTAACCAGAAGGCTGGCGGTTCAAACCCATCAGCCACTCCTCAGAAGGAAGGTTGGATAATCTACTTCCGTAGTGATACTGCCTCAGAAACCCAAGGAGGGGTCGCTATGAGTCAGGTCCAACTTGACAGCACATAACAACAACAACAATACAGGTGCAAAATACACACCAGATGTTGAAGACTTAGTATGAAAGAAAAAAATGTAAAATAATCTCATTATTTTAAAAATATCGATTACAAAGTGAAATGACAGTGTTTTGGGTATATTGGGTAAATAAACTGTATTGTTGAACATAATTGCATCTGTTTCTTTTTATTTTTTCAAAAGCAGCTATTAGAAGAGTTAGAATCCCTGGGTTCTAAATGGTTAATGTACCCTGTTGGTGACCTAAAGGTTAGAGGTTCAGGTCCACCCATAGCCACCTCAGAAGAGGGGCCTAGTCATCTACTTCTGAAAAATCAGCCATTAGAAATCCTATGGAGTACACTTCTACTCTGAGACATATGGGTTACTGTGAGTCAGGGTTGACCACACAGCAACCAGTTCTTATAAGATTTCAAATTAAACATGTGTCTTGCATCTGTGCCTTGTGTTAGAATTTCTGTCAGGCAGTGCTATTCTGGATACACTTTGAAGGTGGAGGCGACAGGATCTGCTGATGGATGCAGAGGAGAGACCTCAAGGGCCACTCTAAAATTTTGAGGCTGAGTAACTGGAAGGGCAAAGTTGACAGTAACTGAGATGAGGAAGGCTGTAGGTTTGATATTGTGTGTGTGTGTCTGTGTGTGTGTGTGTGTGTGTGTGTGTGTGGCAGGGGGTAGATTAGAAGTTCCAGTTTGGAAATGTTAAGTTCAAGATGTTTATGAGGCATGGAGTTAGCAAGTCCAGGGTTCAGAGGAGCAGTCCAGGCTGGAGATGTGAGTTTGCAAGTCATAGCAGAGATGATATTTCAAGCCATGAGACTGAATGGTAATCCTTCTTCCAGACAATTTCTAGCTTCCAGAATTTTATTGCTGTTATTGCATCTCCTGTTTTCTCTATCCTTGTAGCTTTATGTCTTTTTTAAAAACATTATTCACTATGTTAACAGGGTTCATGAGGTCACCAGATTGGAAGCATGTGTTCAAATCACCATCCAATACTGTAATAACTTCTTTAAGTTCATATTATTGTTTGGTTGCTTTTGTATCATTTTATTGTGGTAGAAAAGCAATGTCTGTGAAATTGTAGTAATCAGTAGAAACCTTCCCACACTTCCCCATCAGCCTTTCAGGAAAAATAATGGTGTTTGATTTTTCCATAGGCAAGAAGGCTGCTGGATCTTGCCACAGTGAAGGCCAATGGATTGGCTGCCTTCCTTCTACAACATGTTCAGGAATTACCGGTGCCATCAGTCCTGTCCTCCGAGGGTATGTATATGTTCTTCTCAATTTATTGCAAAGGCTAAGAGTGGTAACTACAGAATGGGACACGTGCCAGTTAGAATCTCTGTTACTGGCTGTGCCAGCCTCTCCAAGACTCAGTTTGTTCACTTTAAGGATAACACCACCTGTCTCAATGGGCTCTTGGGGGGATTAAAAGGATAAAAGCATTTAATGTTAGTTATGTCCCTGGGTAAGGGAGCTCTGGTGGCATAGTGCGTAAAGCATTTGGCTGCTAACTAGAAGGTCTGCACTTCGAACCCACTAGCTGCTCCATGGGAGAAACATGAGTCAATCTACTTCCGGAAAGATTTACAACCTTGGAAAGCCAGTGGGGGTCACTGTGAGTCAGAATCGACTTGATGACAGTAGGTTTATGTCCCTGGGTAGCACAAATGGTTTGCTACTAATCAAAAGGTTGGTGGTTCAGACCCACCCAACAGCACCCCAGAAGAAAGGCCTGGCAATCTGCTTCTGTGAAGATTATAGCCCAGAAAACCCTATGGAGAGTAATTCCACTCTGTAACACATGGGGTCGCCATGAGTCAGAATCGACTCAACAGCAATGGGTTGGGCTTGTTTTTATATTAGCTTTTATTACTTTCCAGACTACATAGTGATAATTGGAGCCACTGTATATTAAAAGCTAACTACTGGTTTTCCTTGCTATCTAAAGTCTCATTATCCATACTGAAAATATGTAGATACACTTTTAAAAAAATAATTTGTGTTCTGTTTTCGGTAAAAGTTTACATAGCCGTTTAGGTTCCCATTCAACACCTTCTACACAAATTGTACACTGACATTGGTCACATTCATCATCATGCCTGAACATTTCTCATTTGCATTCTGGTGGTTCTGTTTCCATTAGCCTAGTTTCCCTACCCCCTTACATTCACAACTTTGTTTTAAAGTGGTTGTTGACCCTTTGGTCTAGTGTAGATAATGTTTAAAGATGCATAGTACTTATGAGCAGTATTCATTATTTTTTGAGCCAATTTGTTCTTTAGCTACAAGATCACTTCATGGTGTTAGTTTCAGTTCAAAGTTTGAATTGTATCTCAGGGCAGTAATCTTGGGGAGTTGTCCAGTCTCAACCAGTCCTATAAGACTGTTTTTGTTTTTAGGAATTTTGAGGTTGTGTTCCATACTTTTCTCCCATTCTGTCAGGGTTCATCTATTGCGAGGAGCCTGACTGGAGTGGTGGGCAGTGGTAGCCAGGCACCATCCAGTTCTTCTGGTCTCAGGGTAGTTGAGGCCATGGTTCATGTAGACTCTTTGTCCTGTAGACTAGTTTCTTCTTTGAGTCTTTGATCTCCTTTCTCTTTTGCTCCAGATGAGTTGAGACCAGTAGATACACGTTTTGAGATATGACTGGTATTTCTTGATCTCTGAAATTAGCTACTCACTATTAAAGGAGAACTGGTGGTGCAGTGTTAAAGCATTTGACTGCTAACCAGGAGGTTGGCCGTCCAGACCCACCAGCTGTTCCATGGACAGAAGATGGGGCAATCTATTTCTGTAAAGATGTATCGCCTTGGAAACCAGTAGGGGTCACTATGAGTCAGAATTGACTCATTGGCAGTGAGTTTGGTTTATTAGGAGCTCAAGAACTAAATGAATTTAGATAACATGGTATCCCTCCATGCCCATTATCACCATCCAGACTCAGGAGCAGAAGTGGCTTGGATAGCACAGCACGTTATGTATACCATACATTGCTACCCTTTGCAACAACCTCGAGTGGTAGGTGTTATTATCTCCACTTTAGAGATATGGAAACTGGGACAGGGAGATTAAGTGATGAGGAAGAGGCAGCTGGGTCTGATTTTAGGCTGTTCCACCCACGCATCTCTCTTCTTTTGAGAGAAGGAATCTTCAATTGTTAAGACAGGGTAACAGCTCTCCCTCTGAGTCTTGCTTCCAAACTGTTGTAAGGCAAGGTCATCAGCACACAGGGCCACTGAGCAATGCATGGTGCTGGCACATGGGTTCATCACCCTGGGCCCTGCCCTCTGGGAGAGTTGGCTGGAAGTCTGTGGTTGGCACTTGAGTGTGCACTGTCTAAGCTAAGAATGAAACGTAGACATTGGTACATGGTGGTTATTCACAGCCCTGAGCACAGGGCCCAGCTGACCCTAAGTGTGTATCTGCTGTTGATATTATCAAGCAAAGCTGGTTGTTTGGGCACTGCAACACTGCCATGGTACAAGATTCCTCACATTTTTAAAGGCAATGGTTGACGTGTGTTTATTGTTTTTGAAATGAGAGAGAAATTTTCCTGCAAAGTTTTGATATCATTGGTCATGTCTGGGAAACCTACATTGGAAATCAGGGCACTGGGGAGGAAGATACATACTTTATGGTCTCCATTCAATGTTTTTGGCATATCCAGAGAGCAGTAAAAGCAACAGTGAGCATCAGTTCTATATAATTCTATAATACAACTTGATATGCCAAGAGCTATCTGGGAAAATTACTTGGAAGCCTTTAAATTGAGAGTCCCTGAGGGTGCAGACTATTAGCATGCCTGGCTATTAACCAGACAGTTGGCCGTCCCAGTCCACCCAGAGGCTCCTTGGGAGAAAGGCATAGCAGTCTTCTGAAAAATCAGCCATTGAAAACCCTGTGGAGCACAGTTCTATTCTGACATATATGGGCTCACTGTGAGTCACAGTCAACTTGAGGGCAACCGGCACCTTTAAATTGAAGACAAATGGACTGAGTGGGCCCAGCTCAGTACTTGGTTGAGTCACCGAGACATGTGATGTGGTGAACCATGCTCTGAGATCCTACCACGCTAGGAGTCTGGACCAGTGCTTCTCCATTTCCTGAAAAGGGAACTGAGCCCTCACACAGGAAGTGGGTTGCTCACTTTGGTAGCAAGATGATAAAGGAAAAGCAACAACCTTTTGGACACACCCAGGTCAGAACTTTTGCTGGAGAGCATTGGATGAAGAGGATGGGGAAGTGGAGACAGGATCAGGGTATCTTGTGTGAGTGCTCTGCCCAGGCACCCTGGTGACCCTGAAGCCATCCAGCACTGGGCCTCAGATCCAGTTCCTTTGAGACTCCTCCCTTCATGGGTGTTTGACCAGGGACTTCCATGGGAAGTTCTCAGCTGGGGGTGGCATCCAGGGCTATAGAAAGCCAACCCTTTAGAGGGACCCAGAAAAGTTTGTCCAAGGGGAGGAGCCCCAGAGTGGTGGGCCAGGCTCTGCTGATTGCCCGCCATCACTCCTTGCGACTCGGTCAAATCCCTTTTCCTCTCTGGGCCTGAGTCTCCTGGTCAGTTCCTAGGCAGTGGAGACTCAGGCCATCTTTAAGGTCCCATCCAGGGGCCCAGCAGGAAGTGTAAATGACAGGTACAGAGGCAAACGGGAGAGCCTTGACAACCAGAGAGCCTTGACAACTGGCAACGATGCATCTGGGTGTGTGTTCCCAGCATTGCCAGATCTTATCTTTTATTCCTAAGAGAAATTTAAACTAAGATTATATTGGAAATCCACGTGTCTTAGTTTCTTAGGGCTGGGAAGGCACTGAGTGGCACAATAAAGTTCTTAATAGAAGTTTATTGTCTTAGTTCTGGAGGCTGAGAGTCCAAGGTCAGGGTGTCAGCCATGTTGATTCCTTCTGAAGGCTCTGAGGGAGAATCTGTTCTGCACCTCTCTTCTAGCTTCTGGTACCTCCAAGGGTTCCTTGGCTTGTAGCTGCAATGTCACTTGGCCTCCTTCCTCTGTCTGTCTGTGTCTGTTCTCAGGTAAGACTAGGTGTGATCTCATGTTAACTAATAGGCTATTTGCAAGCAAGGTCACATTTATGGGTACCAGAGGTGAGAACGTCAACATATTTTTGGGAGGGGGACCCAATTCAGCCCACAACACCATGGCTTTTAAAAGTCAGCAAATAAGTGAAAATTTTCAAAAATACTCCCTATACCAAATACAATATGCTTTGGGCTTGGAGTGGTCCATGGGCAGCCAGTATGCAGCCTGCGCTACCCTGCATTCCCTTTGCTCATTCTTCCAATATGAGCTTGTGTTAGGCATTCTTGGGATTCTGAGTCATCCACTCTCATCACTTGTTAACGCATTTGAGATTCTTATCCCTACCACTACTGGGAGCCTGACAATAATATTTTATTTTATTATTCTAGTTTTACTTACAGTGATCACTTAACTTTTATATAATCCATTCCCATGTATTCTCTCCATGAATCCCCCACTGTTTTAGTTCTATATTGCTGCTGTAACAAATTATCACAAACTTGTGTAGTGGCTATGGCCAGAAGGTTGGCAGTTTGAACCCACCAGCCTCTCTGTGGGAGAAAGACAAGGCAATCTGCTTCTATAAACATTTACAACCTTGGAAATCCTATGAGGCAGTTCTACTCACCACTGACTCCCCTCTTCTGCTCTTCCCCTCTGGGGACTCCTGTGATTGCATGGGGTCCACTGATAACCTGGGAAAATGTCTCCATCTCATGGTTCTTAGCTCAGTCACATCTGCAGAGTCTGTTTTGCCATGTATCGTAACATATTCATAGGTCCTGGGGATTGGGACATGGACATCTTTGTGGGGGAACATTATTCTTTCTCCCACACCACTAATCATATTGATAATAAAGCACTACTTACTGTATTCTTGAAGCTCTGCTTTCCATTATTTCCTGCTAAAATAATCCTACAAGGGGTGTACTATCATTATCCCCACTTTCACAGATAAGAAAACTGAAGCTCAGAAAGGTTAAGTGACTTGTCCAAGCTAAAGGTGGACCCAGGTTGCAAACTTGGGTGTATCTGACTTCAGAAACTGAGGCCCTAAACCCTTAAACTTTCTGCTTTTCTTTAGAAAGTGGCAGCTGAGTCTGGTGAAGGACTTATCTAAGGTCACTCAATCAACATGACAGGACAGACCTCAGACACAGATTTTCTGGCCCCAGCCCAAGACTCTCTCAATCTTCTATAGTTGTTCCTGGTGTCAGGAATAATAATAACAATAGCTTATTTCTTTGGAAGGAGCTCTGGTGGTATAGCATTCAGCTGCTGACCAAAAGGTTGGTGGTTCAAACCCACCTACTGCTCCGTGGGAGAAAGAGGAGACAGTTTGCTTCTGTAAAGATTCATAGCCTTGGAAACCCAGTAGGGGTTGCTATGAGTCAGAATCGACTCGATGGCAATGGGAAAAAAAAAATTTGTTTTGACCACTTACTTACTAGTAACCAGTCGCTGTTGAGTTGACTTTGACTTATGGTGACCTCATATGTGTCAGAGCAGAACTGTGCTCCACAGGGTTTTCAGTGACTAGTTTTTCAAAAGTAGATTACCACACCTTTCTTCCTTGGTACCTTGGGTGGACTCGAACCTCCAGCCTTTCAGTTAGCAGCTGAGCATGTTAACCATTTGCATCACTGAGAAATTCAACACTTGACGTACAGTATCTTAATGGATACATGTAGAAACCTTATAAGGTAAACAAACAAACAAACAAACTCACTGTTGTCAAGTTGGTCCTGACTCATAGCGACCCTTCCTTGGGTTTCCAAGGCAGTAGGGAGCTCTCGTAGCATAGTGGCTAAGGCATTTGACTGCTAACCAGAAGGCAGGCGGTTCAAACCCACCAGCCACTCCTCGGAAGGAAGGTTGGGCAATCCTACTTCCGTAGTGATACTGCCTCGGAAACCCAAGGAGGGGTCGCTATGAGTCGGGGCCGACTCGACGGCAAACAACAACAACAACAACAACAACATCCCTACAGAAGTAGATAGCCCAATCTTCCATCCGAGGAGTGGCTGGTGGGTTTGAACCATCAGCCTTCTGGTTAGCAGTCAAGTGCCTTAGGCACTACACCACCAGAGCTCCTCTTACAAGGTGTTGTTGTTGTTATGTGCTGTCGAGATGGACCTGACTCATAGTGACCTCTCCTTGGGTTTCCGAGGCAGTATCACTACAGAAGTAGATTGCCCAACCTTCCTTCCAAGGAGTGGCTGGTGGGGTTGAACTGCCAGCCTTCTGGTTAGCAGTCAGATGCCTTAGGCACTACGCCACCTGAGCTCCCCGCTTATAAGGTAGGGACCATCATTTCTCCTACTCTGCAGGTGAGCACACTGAGACTTAAAAAGTTTATGCGTGTGACCCCTAAGTCCCACAACTTGTGAGTGGAGGAGCTGGACTTGGCACTCATGTTCCCCTACAAAGCCCAGTCTCTGGTCAGGCCCCATCTTTCACATGGACTCATTTGCCTTTTCCACCTTCCCAGATGCTGCCTGTAAGAAGTACATGGCCAAGCTGAAGACTACAGTGTCTGCCCAAACTCGCTACTTGAGTAGCTACGATGGAGCAGAGAACTTGTGCCTAGAGGACATATATACAGAGAACGGCCTGGAGCTGCAGACGGATGCTGGCATGGCTGGACTCTCGCAGCAGAACCCAGCCACCGTGGGCCTGGAGGAGCTCTTCAGTCCCCATGGCCCTCTCAATGAAGATGCGGACACAGTGCTAGTGGTGGGCGAGGCGGGCAGTGGCAAAAGCACACTCCTGCAGCAGCTGCACTTCCTGTGGGCTGCAGGCCGGGACTTCCAGGAGTTTCTCTTTGTCTTTCCATTCAGCTGCCGGCAACTGCAGTGTGTGGCAAAACCGCTCTCTGTCCAGATGCTGCTTTTTGAACACTGCTGCTGGCCTGATGTCGGCCAACAGGACGTCTTCCAGTTCCTCCTTGACCACCCTGACCGCGTGCTGCTAACCTTCGATGGCTTTGACGAGTTCAGGTACAGGTTCACCGATTGTGAGCGTCATTGTTCTCCAGTCAACCCCATGTCTGTCCAGAACCTGCTCTTCAACCTTCTGCAGGGCAACTTGCTGAAGAATGCCCGCAAGGTGCTGACCAGCCGTCCAGATGCAGTGACAGCTTTCCTCAGGAAGTATGTCCGCACGGAGCTCAAGGTCAAGGGTTTCTCGGAGGAGGGCATTGAGCTGTACATGCGGAAGCACCATCGGGGGCCTGGGGTAGCAGACCGCCTTGTCCACCTGCTCAAAGCGACCTCAGCCTTGCATGGTTTGTGCCACCTTCCTGTCTTCTCATGGATTGTGTCCAAATGCCACCAGGAGCTGTTGCTGCAGGGTGGGGGCTCCCTGAAGACCAGTACAGACATGTACCTGCTGATCCTGCAGCATTTTCTGCTGCATTCCTCCCCACCAGACACAACCCGCAGCAGCCCAGGACCCAGCCTCCTTAGTGGCAGGCTCACCACACTCCTGCACCTCGGCTGCCTGGCTCTCTGGGGCTTGGGCATGTGCTGCTATGTGTTCTCAGCCAAGCAGCTTCAGGCAGCGCAGGTAGACACTGAGGACATTTCTCTGGGCTTCCTGGTGCGTGCCAAAAGCACTGTGCCAGGGAGCTCGGCACCCCTGGAGTTCCTGCACATCACCTTCCAGTGTTTTTTTGCTGCGTTCTACCTCGTGCTGAGTGCTGACCTGCCGCCTACCATACTCAGACACCTCTTCAACTGCCAAAGGCCAGGTGGCTCCCTGCTGGCCAGGCTACTGCCCATGCTATGTGTCCCGGGCTCTGAGCACAAGGAGGGCACCGTGGTATCTTTGCTGCAGGAGGCTGAGCCACACAACCTCCAGATCACGGCAGCCTTTGTGGCAGGGCTATTGTCCCAGGAGCACCGGGGTCTGTTGGTCGAGTGCCAGGCTTCTAAGAAGGCCCTGCTCCGGCGCCATGCCTGTGCCCGGTGGTGTCTGGCCCACAGCCTCCGCAAGCACTTCCACTCCATCCCACCTGCTGTGCCTGGTGAGGCCAAGAGCATGCACGCCATGCCTGGCTTCCTGTGGCTCATCCGGAGTCTGTACGAGATGCAGGAGGAGCGGCTGGCCCGGGAGGCCGCATGTGGGCTGGACGTCGAGCACCTGAAGCTGACCTTCTGCAGTGTCGGCCCCACTGAGTGTGCGGCCCTGGCTTTTGTGCTGCGGCATCTCCGGCGGCCCGTGGCCCTGCAGCTGGACTACAACTCCGTGGGTGACGTTGGCGTGGAGCAGCTGCTGCCTTGCCTTGGGGTCTGCAAAGCTCTCTAGTGAGTATGGGTGGCTGATCCCAGAGGGGCGTGGAGGGAATGCCACCATCAGTGCAGGCACTGGAGCACCAAGCTGGGGCCCAGGAGACTGGCCCAGCCTCACCCAGCTCTGCTGCCCCTTCTCTGCCACCTAGGCAGGGTACCTTCCCCAGTCTGGGCCTTAGTTTTCCCATCTGTACAAGGTTGTCATTGTTGTTAGATGCTGATAACACTGATAACAGTGTTGTTATTAGCTGTCATGGAGTTGCTTCCAACTCGTGGTGACCTTATGTATAAAAGAATGAAGCATTGCCCACCCCTGTGTCATCCTCACAGTCACTACCATGTTTGAATTCACCATTGTGACTATGCTGCCAATCCATGCCACAGAGGGTCTCCCTTGTTCTCACTAACCCTTGACTACACAAAATACGATGCCTTCCTTTAGTGATTGATCCACCGATGACAGATCCAAAGAAAACAAGTTGGACCATATTGTGTTGTGATCCATAAGGTTTTCATTAGCTAATTGTTGGAAGTAGACTACCAGACCTTTCTTTCTAGTCTGTCTTAGTCTAGAAGCTCCACTGAAACCAGTCCACCATAGGTGACCCTACTGGTGTTTCAAATACTGGTGGCATGGCTTTCTGCATCATAACAATGTGCAAGTCACCATAGTATGGCAAACTGAAAGACGGGGGGTGGTGGGTGATAACAATATCTGTTGCTATCTACTTCCCAGAACTACCTGCTTTAATTAAACCCCACAACCATGCTGGGCTGTAGGCAGTGACATTATTGTCCTCATTATCTTCAGTCCTCATTATCCTAGGTCCCTGGGTAGCGCAAACGATTGACACTTGACTACTGACCTAAAGGTTGGCAGTTCACACCCATCAAGTAGTGGTGTGGAAGAAAGGCCTGGTGATCTGCTGCTGCAAAGATTTTCCAAGAAACCCTATGGAGCAGTTCTGCTCTGTCACGTGAGGGTCACTGGGAGACAGAATTGACTTGACAGTTATGGGCATCCTCAGTGTGAGGCTCAGAGGAGCAAAGTAACTTGTCCAGGGTTATGCGGAAAATGAAAGAGCCAAGATTCAAGAATCACATCTTTGTGGTTCCAAGTTTCCTGCTTCCCTCGAGTCACCTGTGGTCTGTGGAAAGGCTTCAGGGGCTCAGTGAGAACTCTGAAGTCACCACAATTTTGTGTAATACCTGGCTACGTTAGGGTCTATCCCATGTTAGAGGTGACGTGTGCCCTATTAGACTTTAAAATTCCTGTATGGTAGGAACTTCAGAGTTCTAAGATGTGGCTGTAGAGTTTAACCCAACCTTTGATTTCTTACATAGTGCAGTGTCGAATAAGATGATGGCATTATCCATGTTGCTTTTGGCTTCCTATCTGAAGAGATTTCACCCTTTGGAAGTCTGTGCCTCAGCATGTCTTGGGGCAGGCAGGACAGAGAGCTTGCCCAGTGTCCCAACTTCCCTGCCAGCCTCAAAAGGGGATGTCATGCTCTGTTTATAACCTCAGATAAAGGAGAAGTAACAGGTTAGAGTTGAAATCTACTCATAGCCTTGCAGGGCTTTTAGTCTGCCCAGACAACTTTATTTGACCCTAAACAAGGGACTGACTTATCCTGGAATATATTAGGGTGACATGTGTTCTCTAGGGCAAAGCAGCAAGATTCTTTTCCTCCAGGGAGCAAACACATGGGTACCTACTAAAAAACCCCACTTCTTTGAGTCGATTCCAACTCACAACTCCATAGGACAGAGTTGGACTGCTCCAGAAAGTTTGCAAGACTACTTCATCTTTTTTCTCCTTCAGAGTGGCTGGTGAGTTTGAACTGCTGACTGTCGGGTTAGCAGCCAAATGCTTTAACCACTGCACCACCAGATCTCCTTTGGATACCTACTAGAAACTGCTATTCCTTAAATAGCAACTCTGGTTATAACGTTATAAATAGAATGCAATAATAACGTCATTGTTGTCATTAGGTGCCATTAAGTTGGTTTCGACCCACGGAGACCCTGTGCACAACAGAATGAAACACTGCCCAGTCCTGTACCATGCTCACAATCACAGCCATACTTGAGCCCGATGTTGTAGCCATTGTGTCAATCCATTTCATTGAGGGCCTTCCTCTTTTTTTGCTGACCCTCTACTTTACCAAATAATAACGTGATATATATAACCAACCAGTTGCCGTGGAGTCACTTCCAACTCACGGTGACCCCTGAGTGTCAGAGCTGTGCTCCAGGGTCCTAAAGGGCTGATTTTCCACAAGTTGATCACCAGGCCTTTCTTCCAAGGTGCCTCTGGGTGCCCTCAAACCACTAGTCTTTTGGGTAGCAACAGAGCATGTTAACCATTTGCACTACCCAGGGACTCCGTATTATATATAATTGATATAAAAATTGTATGTAATTAATATACTATGAAATATAATACAAACATAAATATACCAGTCAGGGGTTTGGAGGAAACATGACACATTTAAATTGCATAATCTGAGGAGAGTTTAACAATGGGACTACTGGCAAAGGTGTGGACAAGAGTTGGGAAGAGCACTGAGGACAGTGCAGGGCCCTGGGGCTAGTCATGGGGGCAGAGCAGGGAGGATGACAGGAGTGGCTAGCATCCTGGGAGGAAGGCAGGGAGGACACTGCCTGACAGGAACTGTGGCTGCGGCAATCTGGAAGGGTGGGTGTAGGGGACTAAAGCCCTCCCTCTGCTCCCCCCTCCTCTCTGCTGCCAGTGCCATCCCCTGGACTGGGGTTAGGACAGAAAGCCAGGGAGGCAGCAGGGAGAGTAGATGTGGGAGGGTCGAAGGAGGTGACCAGTGCAATACTCTACTTCCCTAAGAAGTAAGAATCCTGATATTTTGACTTGGGAATTTCGGGACCTGTCTATGGGGGCTGTTTTCCTGTTAAAAAAGATGAATGTGAATTTTGCTGGGTAGTGAGCTCATAGTTTCCATCAAGTTCTTAAAGAGTCCCTGAAACCCAGGAAACCAGGAGCCCCTGGCCTGGATGATCCTCTGAGGCCAGCCCACCCCTGGAATTCTTGAATGGATTGTCTCTCCTGGGTTAGGGATACCCACGTGACTCCCCTATGTTGTGCAGAAGGGCTGGGCAAAGGCTGTGAGCTGGTCTGTTTCTCAGAGTAAGGAGAGGATGGTCTGGTTCCAGTTCATGGTTCTCAGGCTGTAGTGTGTGCAAAGGTGCTTGTGGAGATGCTGATTGCTGGGCCTGCCCCCAGCGATTCCCACTCAATAGGTCTATGGTGGGGGCCGTGGAGTCTGTGTTTTCAACAAATATCCCTGGTGATTCTGATACAACTGGTCCAATATTCTCATACTGTGAGACATGCTGGTATGTCTGAGCCAGCTTGGTTTTTCATCAGCAACTGAAGTCCTTGACCAAGTTCTACACACCTACACACAGTGAAACTGCCAACACTATAACAGGAGTTGAGGAAAACAAGGTTGCTGTGTGGGCATTTCCTGTGTGTGTGTGTGTGTGTGTGTGTGTGTGAGAGAGAGAGAGAGAGAGAGACTCCTTTTCCATAGCACTAAGCTGCATCTCTCCCACTTGAACTGTTTCCATGCCAACTGAAATCAGCCTGCAGGAAACTCCATATATAAGTGTCCCCATGTAGGTCTCTTTAAACCCTCGGTCTCACTCTACGGTGGTGGCTTTCAAGTTTTTTGACTGCAACCAACAGTGAGAGACAGAGACAGACAGACAGAGAGGGAAATAGAGAGTAGACAGAGAGACAAAATACTGTAAAACTGAAATTAAAGCTTCTTGAAATGACTTTACCTTATTAACTCTAATCACTCTGCTGTTTTCTTCTCTCTGTTCTATTTCATTGAAAATAAATGCTGCTTGGGACCTTCAAAACTGATTTCATGATGCACTAGTGGGTCACAACCCCTGGTCTGAAAAACAGTGCTTTGGAAGGCTGATGAAAATCTGTAGGTGGAGGCAGATTAATGTGCTGGTCATGAGTGGGGTTTGGAGCTAGACTAACAACCAAACAAGCTCACTGCCATCAAGTTAATTCAGACTCGTAGCAACCCCATTGGGTTTCCAAGAATATAAATCTTTACGGAAGCAGACTGCCTCATCTTTTTTCTGAAGAGCAGCTGGTGGGTTTGAACCATTGACCTCTTGGTTAGCAGCCATATGCCTTAACCATTACACCAATAGAGCTCCTTGGAGCTAGTTTGCCCAGGCTCAAATCCTTTACTTGCTGTGCACCCTTGGCTAAGGCACTTCACTTGTCTGCCTCAGTTTCCTGCTCTGCAATATAGGCTTGTTGTGAGGATTAAATGAGGTTACTATTTGTGAAGTACCAGGAGCTCTGGTGGCACAGTGGTTAAGAACTTGGCTGCTAACCAAAAGGTCAGTGGTTCAAACCTATTAGCCACTCCACAGAGAAAGATGTGGCAGTCTGCTTCTGTAAAGATTACAGCCTTGCGAGTAGTGATTGGAATCTTAAAAGCTTGCAAGCAGCCATCTAGATGCAACTATGGGTCTCCTCTCATTCAGAGCAAAGAAGAATGAAGAAAACCAGAGACGAATGGAAAGAATTAGTCCAAGTGACTGGTACACCATGCCATCCTCAGCCTATACAACTATGAGACCAAAAGAACTAGATGGTACCTGGCTACCACTGTCACCCACTTGGGGTGGGGGGCGAAATCTATGTAAGAGATCCTGGATAGAACAGGAGAATAAAGTGGAAGAAAATTCAAAATCACTTAAAAAAAAAAAAAAAAAGGACCAGATTTGCTGGTCTGATAGAGCCTGGTGGAACCAATGAGACTATGGCCCTTAGCTGCCCTTCAGGTCTAGAATTGAACCCATTCCTGTGGCTTCCAGCCAAACAGTAGACAGGCGTATGAGCTGAACATTTACATTAGGTAGATACACTTCTTGGAGAGATCAGTCATCGGAGGATAGAAGGGCTGTGTATGCACAGGGAGACAGCTCAGGGGACAGGAGTGCATGAAGGGAAGGACACAAGGAAGAGGTAACTATGGGGAGGAATGGGAGGGAAGCTGTTGCATTGTGGGACATTTCAGTCAATGCCATGAGACAAAGTGTATGTGAGCTGCTGTATGGAAAGTAAATTTGCTCTGTAAACTTTTACCTAAATCACATTTTTTAAAAAAAATTTACAGCCTTGGAAACCCTATGGGCCAGTTCTACTCCATTAGAGGGTCACTATGAGTCAGAATTGACTTAGTGGCGGTGGGTAATTTGAGAAGTACTCAGGACAGCTCCTGGAACATGAAACACTCAATGGATACCAGTGATCATTATTACAGGTAGCTCTTACCTGGTGCTTTACATGCACTGTCTCTTCATGGTCAGGAATACTGTTGTTTCATTCTACAGATGGAGGAGCCAGCCAGTAGCTAGTAAGTGGCTGCTCAGGACCAGAACTTCCAGCTGAGGGACTCCCCAGCCTATGTTGTTGTTGTTGTTGTGTGCCGTCAAGTTGGACCTGGCTCCTAGTGACCCCTTCTTGGGTTTCCGAGGCGGTATCACTACAGAAATGGATTGCCCCATCTTTCTTCCGAGGAGTGGCTGTGTTAACAACCATTAAGTCAGAATCTCTCACATTTGCCTGAAGATAAGAATCATGTGTGCAATTGTTAAAAAATAAAAATCCCTGGGGCCCACCCCCCCACACACACACTGAATCACTATCTCCAGGAGAGGGCCTGAGAATGTGCCTTTTAGAGGGCCTGAGCTTCCTGATGGTCTTGTCATCTCTTTAGAGGAGGGTCAGAGAGGGGTTGCTGGGCTGTGCTGTCATGAGAGGGAAAGGGCTGGCCAGCAGGGCCCCATGAAGCACAGCCTGAAGGCTCATTTCTGAAGCTGAGGCCACTCTCATCCAGCTGGTCTGACATCTGCTCACCTAGACAGTGATAAGCACCATTGCCCCCAAGGTGGCCCTTGTTCCCACCACACCCTTTATGAGTATCGGCTCTTCCCCATCTCAGAACCTTCTGTGAGTGTTTTGTTGTTGTTGTTGCCTGCTGTGGAGATGCCTCTAACTTATGGTGACTCCATGCACAATGGAGTGAAACATTGCAGTCTTGTGTCGTCCCCAAAATCACTTCCAGACCGGACTGTTGAGATCCATAACATTCTCATTGGCTGATTTTCAGAAGTAGACCCCCATCCCTTTCTTCCTAGTCCCCCTTTGTCTGGAAGCTTCACTGAAACCTGTTCAGCATCTAACAACACCCGGGCCTCCACTGATAGGCAGGCGGTGACTGCACGTGAGGTGGGAATCAAACCCAGGTCTCTTGCACGGAAGGCAAGAATTCTACCACTGAACCAACAATCTCTCTTTTAGGGAGATGGAAACAGCAGTTCAAATGAGACCAGTGACTTCCTGAGGATTCTAGGTTCTTTAGTGGGCTCTGGGTCTCTGCTTTTTGGGCTATTCCCCACATAGTATTCCAGTTAGCCCCCTGGCCAGGGATGGGAGAGTCTCCACTTTTCCTGGATGCTCAGTCCTTGCAGCGGTTTCTTTGGAGGGTTTCTTCATTCTTTTCTCTCTTATCAGCTCCACTTTCAAACTGAATTGTTTTGTCTTTTTTAGCTTGCGAGATAACAATATCTCAGACCGAGGCATCTGCAAGCTCATTGAACGCGCTCTTCACTGTGAGCAGCTGCAGAAATTAGCGTAAGTCAGGCTGCGCTGTGGACATTGGTCCCCTGTCCCCAGCCTCTCCAGGCCTGGGCAGGTGTGCAGGCATAATGGGCTGTGTGTGGGTGTTTGCATGGCTGGAGGATGCAGGGGGGCTCCTATCCTGAAGAAAGAAGCTGCCCCATTTGTGTAGTCACTGTCCTTTATTCTTCGTCCTCACATCTCCTCTTTCCTGGAACTTTCCAGTCTCTTCAACAACAAATTGACTGATGGCTGTGCACACGCCATGGCCCAGCTCCTTGCATGCAAGCAGAACTTCTTGGCGTTGAGGTGAGCTCCCTGTTCCCCAGCACCTTTTTCTTCTGGCAGCGGAGTTAGTCTGCTCTGGCCTCGTCCCTGGCTCTGCCCACACTAGGATCATGACCTTCAGGCTGAATGCAAGGGCATTGTCTCCTTTGGGGAGTTCCAGTGGTGCAGATGGTAATGTGCTTGGCTGTGAACCGCAAGTCTGGAGGGTCAAGTCTACCTGGAGGTACCTCAGAAGAAAGGCCTGGCAATCTGCTTCTGAAAAAATAGCCATTGGCAATCCCCGGGAGCACAGCTCTTCTCTGACCCACATGGGATCACCAGGAGTCAGGGTCAACTCAAGGGCAATGTTTGCAACTTTTTTTTTATTTTAACTGGTCTCCTTTTGAGCAGTGTTTTTCTGATGCCATGATTTCTCCAACGAACTCTGGAGTGGTGCTGCTGAGGGCTCCCTGCCCTTTCACCTTTAGTCCTTGTGCTGAAGAAGGGGTTCATGGAGATGGCACAGGACAGGGAACATTTTGTTCTGTTGAGAGAGCGTCGCCAGGAGTTACAGGCCAACTGGACGGCAGCTAGCAACAGCAACTGCCGCCTCCCTTGCTGGGATTCCCCCTGGCCCAGATTGCTTTCCTGACGCTGGCCCTCCCGCAGTGCCCTTCTTGGTATTGGCAGAGAGCCTTTCTGGAAGGCTCTAAGGCCTCTTCCTCTCTGGCAAACTCCCTGGCTGCCTGGGCCTGCCCTGGGCTCTCTTGTAATTGGTTAATGCTACCTGTGGCACCAGCAGCTCTGGGAAGCTGCAAGGGGCATGCTGGGGGTCTAGTGCCAGTAGGTGCCTGAGACAGGAGGCAAAGGTGGGGTAGTGAGTAAATCACCGTCCACAACCTGGCCTCACCCTTCAGAGAAACCACCTCCCAGGACAGCTGTGTGACTCCTACCTGTACTTGTCAGTGCTGCTTTGCAAAGCAGCCCCGCCCACTTTTCCTTTGCTACTGGAAACTGAAGTAGAGGTAGCGGTTAAGTAAGCTTGCATTAGCTCACAGAGCATGACCAGCGTGTACTGTGCCGCCCTGGAGCGTGAGGACAGTCCCACATCTGTGGAGGGGATGTGCTCAGAGCTTTTCCCCCTTGAGTCACTGTCTAGGATGCTTCTTCCCCATCACATCCATCACATCAGGGCATGAAGGTCCCTGGGCCTCTGCTCTAGGCTGTCCTCTCTCAGTCTCTTCTGTCTTCCCTTCCAGGCTGGGGAATAACCACATCACTGCTTCAGGGGCCGAGGTGCTGGCCCAGGGGCTCCAGGACAACACCTCCCTCCAGTTTCTGGGGTAGGTTGGGCCCCGGGACTGAGGGGCCCACACACAGGGGCTTGGGGCATTCGAAGATTTAGGGGCAGGTGAAACTCTTCAGCCAGAGCCCTCAGAGGTACCCAGGCTACAGTGGGGAGGGTGATCTGGAGAGAGTGGGTGGGACTTGACTGCCCCGGTGTATCTTCACCTGACAAACAGGAAGTTGAGGATGTCAGGGCTGAGGAGGGTAGGGCCCATGAGCTGGTCCTTGGGCACCTAGGGCTATGCTTCTCAGCTTTGGCTGCCCATTGGAATCACTTGAGGAGCTTCTGCAAAATACCATTGCCTGAGTCCCACCTATGACTAAATGGAAATGTCTGGGTGCAAGACCCAGGCATCAGTAATTTTTGAAAGCTCTCAGGGAAGGTGAAGCCAGGGGTGAGAACCATGGACCTGGGGAACAGAAGGAAGTAGGGTGGGTAGCAAAGACCCAGGATGACAGGAAGCTTTCTCGGGTCTTTTAGAGCCCGTGCTTGTGTGGAGCCCCTGCCAGGCTTGCCAAGGAGGGGAGAGGAGTCAGACACAGGCTTTAGAGGCCAGTCTTACAGACTATAGGGGGCAGGTGGCCTCTATTTGCTGGGCGAGTGGCTGCCCCTCAGGGCTGCACCCAGACAGTCCCCAAGAGCCCCACTCTGGTCCTGTCACATCCTGCTGTGGATTGGGGTCCATGTGACATGATCTGGGAGTTTTAGAACCTGAAATGGTAGGAAGTGAGAATAACCTTAGGACTAAGTGCTCCAACCCATGTCACAGGTAAGCGAGTTGTTGCCCACTAAGCACACTTTGATCCAAGAGCAGGACTCTTGACAGGAGAAATTAACTTTTTCTAGCTTCCTGAGTAGCAGCACAGTGTCTACAATAAAGGTGGCCACAGCCCTGCTGAGCTGTCTCCTGCTGGAGGTCACTTCTGGGGTGTTTGTTTATCTCTGAACACATATTTATTAAGGCACCTTCTCTAGACCAGTCACCTTGCTAAAAATGCCAAACACTGTCCTGTGGTACAAACTCTTCTCTGTAACTAGCATTATTTTTTATTTTTGTTCAACAATATATGATAAGCATCTTCTTATCATTATATCCTCATTTTTTTATAGTGTAACTGCATAGGAGCTCTGGTGGCGCAGTGCCTAAGGCACTTGACTGCTAACCAGAAGGCTGGCGGTTCAAACCCACCAGCCACTCCTCTGAAGGAAGGTTGGGCAATCTACTTCCGTAGTGATAATGCCTTGGAAACCCAAGGAGGAGGACTCGACAGCACATAACAACAACAACAAAAAAACATAGTGTTCCAATGGGTGGATGTCCATAATCTACTTAACTGTCCCCCTGTTGATACACACTTAGGTTGTTTCCAGGTTGTTTTGCTATTTCAATGTTGTATCCCCAGAGAGCAGGGCAATGTTGGCACACAGTGAAAGCTCAGTAAGTATTTATTGAGTTACTGAAAATGCAGTGAACACCATAGTTCACCCATCATTCCTCACTGGTGCATGTGCGTGTCCAGAGGAAGTTCCCCTGTGTAAAATAGCTGGGCCAGAAGGTATGAGCTGGGTTCGATCTTTTCAGAAAGGATACTTTCAAACTATAGTGGGTTAGAGGAAGGTGGTCCAGAAGGTGAAGGAACTAGACACCAAGAAGGAATTAGGGATGTGGAGAAGAAGCAGGAGATAAAGAACTGGCTTGTGGAATAAGCATTAGATTTGTCTAGGTGGTCCCCAAGGGTAATTAAGAATTGATGGGTGGCAGTTACCATGAGACAGGTTGGAACTGAATGTCAGGGAAGATACAGTTAGTTATGTGAGTTCCCTGTCTCTGGGGTATGGACTGAGTGGACCACTCCCACTCTGTATGTCTGTGACCTAAAGCTGCAGAAAGAAAAGAGTGAAGTTTGGTCATCCAACCAAAACGATGGAGGCAGGTACACTGTTTGGCAGGTGACCCATTGAGACCTCTCTTGGATTGGGTGGTCCTACTCTCCTGGCTGGGCCTGCAGAAAGCAGGAGGCTCTGTTAGCACATGTCTAGAATAATGTTAACACATACCAGGTGTTCACTCTCTGTTCACTGTGTTGGTCTTTTCAGGTTCTGGGGCAACAAGGTGGGTGACAAGGGGGCCCAGGCTTTGGCTGAAGCCTTGAGTGACCACCAGAGCTTGAAGTGGCTCAGGTAAGCTTCTGAGTCTGTCCTGTAATTGTCATGGAGGAGTCAGAGTGGGGAAGGAGGAGCTTGGGCCAGTTTTGAAGATCTTTGAAGTTCACGTTTACCCTCCTTATGTTAGGCAGTAGGCTAAAGAGTTGAATTTGAGTCGAGGCTCTTGAGTCCTTCTGGGTGACTTTGGAGGTGTCTAGGGGTCCAAATTCCTTACTTGTAAATTGAAGATCTTGGGTTGGATCAGATACATTGTATCTCAAGGACCAATTCCAACCCATTAGTAGTGGCTGCCTGGTATACCATGTTGCGAAAGATTCTAAGACTGTATCTGGACTTAATGAGAAAGAGCCCTGCAATCAATTAGTGATGTCTGAAATGGAATAGACAAGGAGAATGGGGGTATGTGTGCTATGCATTTTGCCATCCATGCATTTATGCTTGTCTCTGAGGTCCCTCCCTCTGACATGTTTTTGTTTCATGATCACGTCCAGCCTGGTAGGGAACAACATTGGCAGTGTGGGTGCCAAAGCCTTAGCACTGATGTTGGAAAAGAACGTGGTACTGGAAGAACTCTGGTGAGTTTGGGGGATCCGCTGCTCTGGGCAAGCAGATGAGTACCTTTCTTAAATCTCTGGCCTTATTTATGGAAGCAGTTGTGTGGATAGGCGCAAGTAGGGGACTGATTGATTGATTGTGTTTAACTTTATACATACTGGGTGGTGTGATGCTTGTAGGTGCTAATTCTTTTTATTTAATGCCTTAATTAGATTGTTTATTTACTCCCTGCACATGGCATAATGGTGAAGAGCACAGATGCTGGTATCAAGCAAACTGAGATTCTTCTGTCATCTTAGGCAGTTAAATAACAATGCCTATTTTCTCACCTGTAAAATGAGGATAAGAATGCTTCCAACTATTAAACGTTGTTGTCAGAATTAAATGAGGTAATGTTTGTAAAGAGCTTGATGCAGTTGCTGGCATGGGTGTAAGTGCTCCACAAATGTTAAGGTATAATCATAGCAGGATTACTATGACAACTACTACTATCACTACTAGTAATACTACCAGTATTTTGTTATTTTAAAGTGCATGAGTGCCTAAGAACACTAGGTGTTAGAGTCAGTGATTGTCTTGGAAGGTAGAGTAACATTCTGGGGAAGTTGAAAGGTGAGTCATGAATCATGGTTATGCTGTGGATCTGAAGCTGATTTTGAGTCTCCTGTCCTTCAGACTCCACTAGTATAGTTCTTTTGACATGTTCTACAAGATTCCAGATTGTGTCCTGGAAATAAAATGCTGAATATTTGTTTTTTCTCCAGGAAGCAGAAAGGCAGTGAAACATATGAGCATTGCCGTAGAAAGGAGATTGTTGGTGGGCCTTGGCTGTTGGTGGGGCTTACCAGCTCTGTCATGTTTTTAGCCTGATTGTATTTTGCCACTAGAATTTCTTGACGGAAGGGCACCTTAGTGAAGATTACTTTAGGCTGCAAGTAATAGACACCACCCAAGGACTCTCAAACAAAATTAGGCTCCCATTAATAAGGAGAAAGACAAAATATATTGGATGGCCGGGCATGAAGAATTTATTCTGTAGAGGGGCCCTGGGGTGAATTCTCTTGCAACAGTGCCCCCTGGAATTGAGAACCCTCACACCCTACTTTATCTGTTCCATAATTTTGAATTTTAGATGTTGGATTTTCTAAATCTGAGCACATGGCTTCATCTTTGTTGCCACCATCCTCCATGATAAACATTATCAGATCAACCAGATTTTCTGTCTTGTTCTTGCCAGCCTGGAGGAGAATCATCTCCACGATGAAGGTGTGTGTTCTCTCGCTGAAGGACTTAAGAGAAATTCAAGTTTGAAAGTCCTGAAGTAAGGAACTTGTAAGCAGCAGCTGGGGTAATGGAAACTGGCCTTGGGAGGGGTTGCTTCTGATCTGGGTGGCATCCCAGCCCAGGTAGCTTACACGAGGTGGCCTAGTAGAAAACAGCCGGCATTGGTCAAGTACAAGCCATTTATTCATAGGTGGTCCCAGAGCATGGGTGGGAGGATAGTGAAGTGAGATAGAAAAGGGAAGGCAGCCAAGAAGGGATGCGTTGTCACTACAGTGGGCAACTAGGACTCCCTCAGAGGTCCCTTCTGGGAATGCTGGGGGCCAGTGTAGAACACGCCTGGTTACCTGCCCACCTGAGGGTTGAACAGCTGGGACATTTAGCCACCAAGTCCCTGTGCGTTCTGTGTTGAGGTATGCTTGTGAACATTGACTGCTTGTACTTGGCACTTCCAGCTTAGCCTGCACATGGCTGAGCTTGTTCTGGGGTCAGAAGAAAGGCCTCAGGCAGAGAGTGGCAGGTGTTTCCAGCAAGCAGCCTTCAGAGTTAGAGGTGAAAGCAGAGGAAATACGGGTGGGTTGCTGACCGTGCCGGCTATGTGGCTCATGGGAAATGCCCTTCTTTTGCTCCAGGGGCCAGCTCTGGCTCAGGCAGGAGGACTCTTCAGACGGTCATCTTGTTGTGTTATGCAGTGGTGAATGCATGCATGTGTTTATTCATGCATGCCTACATTCATTATGCGTACAAGCATGCATTTGCATATTCATATGAGAAACGTTTCTTGAGCACCTGCTCTGTGCCAGGTGCAGTTTGAGGCACTGGCGGTTTAGTGATGAAAGGACAGAGCAGGCATCTGCTCACATGGCATTTAAATTCTCATAGGAAAGGGGCTCAGATAAATGAGCAAGTAAACAGATAAATAAAACCATTTCTGGTGGTACCAAAACCCAAAACTAAACTCACTGCCATTGAGTGGATTCCGACTCATAGTGACCCCCACTGGGTTTCTGAGGCTGTAAATCTTTATGGAAGTAGATTGTCCCATCTTCCTTCTACAGAGTGCCTGGTATGTTTGAACCACCAACCTTCTGGTTAGCAGTCAAATGCCTAAGGCACTGCACCACCAAAGCTCTAAAAAGAGAACTCAAGAGGGAGATGTGACAGGGTGTGACTGGGGACAGCAAGGTTGCTGCTGCTCAGGCATGGTCCATCTGAGAAGGTAGCATTTGAGTTTAGACCTGAATAACTTGAGGGGCCCACCATGCTGGGGTCTCATGGAGAGGCATCCCAGGTGGAGAGAACAGCATATGCAAAGGCCCTAAGGCAGAAATAAGCTCGGTGGTTTTGAGAACAGAAGGACAGCCTGGGTGGCTAGAAAGTAGTGAGTAGGGAGGGAGATGGGAGGGGCAGGCAGATCCCATAGGCTTCAGAGCCATGGAAGGATTTGGGGTTTGATTCTAAGTGCATTGGGAAGCTTCTGGAAGGTTTTTCTTTTGCTTTGTTTTTGGTTTTTACTCTTTTTTTTTTTTTCATGGTTGTAAAATATATATAGCAAAACAGTTGTCATTCTAACCATTTTAAGCGTACGATTCAGTGACATTAATTACAGTCACCCTGGTATGCAACTGTGATCACCATCTGTTTTCAAATGTTTTTCATCCCCCAGATAAAAACTCAGCACTCCTTGAGTAATAACTCCCCATTTTCTCTACCCCAGCCCCTGTAATGACTGAGAAACTTTTGTCTGTATGCATTTGCCTCTTGTCGTGTTTCACATAAGTGGGATCATACAGTGTTTGTCCTTTCTTGTCTGACTTATTTCTCTCAACATAATGCTTTCAGGGTTCATCCATGTTGTAGCATGTGTTAGAACTTCAGTTCTCTTTTTACCGCATATTGGTTGTCATTCTTCTGTTGATGGACAGTTGGGTTCTTTCTACTTTTTGGCTATTCATGAGTGATGCTGCAATGAACATTAGTGTATACCCTTTGGAAGGCTTTGATCAGGGGAGTCATGTGCTCTGATCTGTGTCATAAAACAATCATTTCTGCCTCACTGTGCAGAGTAGATTGAAGAGGGGTCAAATGGGAGCAGGGAGTCCAGCCAGGAGGCACTTGCAGTCTTCCAGGCGAGAGATGGAGGAGGCGTGAATGAAGCTCAAGGCGGTGGAATAGCAGGAATGTACGGGAGTCCTGCTGGGTTAGGAGCAGTGGTGATGGGGAAGGGATCTGGGGTCATCTGGTGGTGGGCTCAGTGGGTAGAGACCCATGCCACGAGAAGAGGGACAGTGGCTGTGAGCTGGACACCAAGTGATGTCCTAGACTCGTGCTGGTGCTCTCCAAGACAGGCTGCAACTAGGCACAGCACCCAAGGTCTCATTTCCCAGGGACATCAGGGCACCATCAGAGGGCTCGCTCCTCTTCCTAGAGGAAACTGGCATGTGCCCTGGCAAGTGTGGCCCATGGAAAAAAAACATTTTTAGAGACAGGCAGACAGCTGCGTCGGGAAGAGCATTGACTTTGCTGCCAGCCCACCATCCACTCTGGCAGCCCTTGTTTGTGTTGCTTTGTGAGGGCTAGGATGTTGCCAAATGTTTGGGGAAACACTTCCATTTGTTCCACGGGGGGATGCAGACTGGGAGGTTGGATTTCTCCAAGCCAGCATGTGTGGATGTGACAAATTTGTCCACCTTTGTCACAGACTTAACCTGACTTGACCTCAATGACAATGGTAGTAGGAGGCGTCCCACATTACCTTGTTACCAGCCTTATAATTCAGTGTCATTGAACCATTTATCCACCCTCACCATTATTTTCTGATAGTTCTTTGGGGGGAGGAGGGGAAAGCCTGCATTTTTTCTCCAGGCCTAGCCACTGCTAAGCGTTGGTTCAGAGTAAAGGCTCTGGAGCCCAACGGCCTGGGTTTGTACCCTATCTCTGCCATTACCAGCTGTCTCTCCTTGGGTGAGTGCCTCAGTTGCCCCAAGTGTAAATGGGCATAATAATTAGAATGCCCTCCTTGGGTTCTAAGTGTTCACTGAGGCAGTAGAGGTAACGGGTTGGCATATAGGGAGAGCTCAGCGGAAACTGCCTGTTATTACTGTTGGCACTGCCTCACCATCACTTTCTGAAATTGTGGAGGAGGAGAAAGCAGGTCGTGGAAATCCTCTGAAAGGCAAAGAACAGTGCAGAAACACATGGCTTTCCCGCCCCCACACTCCGTGACCACACCCCATGTCCCCTCTCCATTCCCAACCTCATGTTGTCTTTAATCTATGTCCCCACACCCTGGTGGCCCCCAAACTGAACACTGATTATTTGGGGCCAGCTGCTTCATATATGCCGTTCTTTGTTTAATTGCTGTACTTGTAGGTGCCCTGGAGGCACAGCAGTTAAAGGACTCAGCTGGTAACCAAGAGGTTAGGTTGGTGGTTTGAACCCACCAGCTCCTCTCCGGGAGAAAGATGTGGCAGTCTGTTTCTGTAAAGATTTGCTGCCTTGGAAACCCTATGGGGCAGTTCTTCCTTTTGTTATGGGGTCACTACGGGTCAGAGTTGATAACGATTGTAATGGGTTGGGATAAGGTAGGTACTAGACCCCTTTTACAGAAGAGAAACTGCCACTTTTTTTTTTTTTTAATTTTATTTTGATTTGGGTGAAGATTTACAGAGTAAATTCACTTTTCGTACAGCAGTTCACATATACTTTGTCTCATGTCATTGACCAAAATTTACAATGCAACAGCTCCCCTCCCACTTCCTCCCCATAGTTACCTCTTTCCAGTGTCCATTCCTCCATACTCTTCTGCACCCTGAGCTGTCTCCCTGTGCATAAGCAGCCCTTCCTTCTCCCATGATTGTTCTCTCCAGGGTGTGTGTCTACTTGAGGTAAATGTTTAACTCACTTGCCTGTTCTTTGTTTGGCTGGAAACCACAGGTGTGGGTTCAATTCCAGACCTGAAGGGCAGCTAGGGTCCATAGTCTCAGTGGTTTCACCAGGCTCTATTGGACCAGCAAACCTGGTCCCCACCTTCTTTTTTTTTTTTTTTTGCCTCCAAATGATTTTGAGTTTTGTTCCACATTGTTCTTCCTGTCTATGCAGGATCTTGTACATCCCTTCCAAGTGAATGACAGTGGTAGCCGGGCACCATCTAGTTCTTCTGGTCTCATAGTTGTATAGGTTGCAGATCAGATGGTGTACCAGTCGCTAGGACTGATTGTTTCCATTCATTTGGTTTTCTTCTTTCTTCTTGACGAGGAGACACCCATTGTTGCAGCTTGCTAGCTTTTAAGATCCCAGTCGCTACTCGCCAAAGTAGGAGGTGGAACAATGTTTTGTATAGTATGTTATGCCAATTGAGCTTGATGTCCCCTGCGACTATGGTCCCAAGCCCGCAGGATCAACTACTCGGTCGCTCTGGGTAGCTGGCTGTGACCAAGCAATGACCATAACCTTGCCCCTTGTCAGCCCTACTATACACCTGGGAATTCTGATCATTTATATAAACTTATAGGACCATTGTCTGCCAACCCTATATATGATCTTGGATACACTCCCCATTTAGACATACCTCATTGTTTAGCCTGTCCACCTATCTATCCGTCCATATACCCCTGTTTGCCTTCAGTGACAACTCAGTACTGTATATGCAAAAGGGTTCATATTTGTTGTCTGTACTTCCCATGTACCTCTCTATGTCTTTCTCATCCTCAATGGTGCCATATTGGTCACTCCCATTTGGTACATTGCCCTTCTCTTCACCCAAATCAATATTTATCACTATCTACCTAACAGCGTTCCCTCCCATTCCCTCCCACCCCTGGTAACCAAGAAAGAAAATTTCCTCCAATAGATAAACCTTTCCTTAAGTTTTACAGTAACGGACTTATACAATATTTGTCCTTTTGTGACTGACTTATTTCACTCAGCATAATGTCCTCCAAGTTCATCCATGTTATGCGGTGTTTTGCAGATTCTACATTATTCTTTAGCGTTGCATAGTATTCCATTGTGTGTATGTACCATAGTTTGGTTATCCATTCCTCAGTTGATGAACATCTAGGTTGTTTCCATGTTTTGGCTATTGTAAATAGTGCTGCGATGAACATCAGTGTGCATATATCTGTTCTTGTCATGGCTCTCACTTCTCTAGGGTATATACCTAGTAATGGGATGGCTGGGTCAAATGGTATTTCTAATTCCAACTTTTGAAGGAATCGCCATACTGCTTTCCACAATGGTTGTACCATTTTACAGTCCCACCAGCAGTGTATGAGAGTCCCAATCTCTCCACAACCTCGCCAGCATTTGTTATTTTCTGTCTTGTTGAACTTTGCTACTAGTGCTGGAGCAAGATGGTATCTCATTGTTGTTTTGATTTGCATCTCTCTAATAGCTAATGATCGTGAGCATTTCTTCATGTGTTTGTTGGCCGCTTGAATATCCTCGGTGAAGTGTCTATTCATGTCTTCTGCCCATTTTTAAATTGGATTGTTTGTCTTTTTGTTATTGAGGTGTTGAAGTGTTCTATAAATTCTAGAGGAGAAACTGACACTTTTTGAGATCAAAAAGAAAGTGATAAAGGTTGTCCTGAACCCAGAAAGTCTAGCATTAAAACACAGGTACTTAATCACTATGCTATAGCACCTTTCTAAGGGGAGGCTAGTTAATTAGATAAACAGATTCATTAGATCATCTAGGTTAGGATGAACAGAAGAGAGAAGGGGTGCATTTCACTTAAGGTATTGAGCCTTTGTTGATGAGCTGACGGGATCTCAGATAGAAGTGTCATGTCCAGGGGACAGAAGGGCTTCAGCGGCTGGATTAGACCAGCCAACTCTCTAAAACTCCTTCAACTGGGGAAACCTAAGAGAACTAAACATTCCGGAAGTTTACCATTACACCTTCCTCTCTAGGCTGTCCGACAACTTCATCACCTGCGCTGGGGCAGAAGCCCTCCTGCAGGCCCTTGGAAGGAATGATACCATCCTGGAAGTCTGGTAAGGGCCCTGGGCCTCTGAGCCTCCATTTTCTGATCTGTCAAGTAAGGTGAGTGGTGGGGAGGAACTTTGAACTTTCTAACATCCTCTCTGCGAAAAGGGCATGAGGACAGCATCTGACCTCCTCTCACTTCATAGGTGGGGAGAAGGATCACCATTAGTGTCAACAGCCCAAGGCTGATTCCTGTAAGGCAGAAGTCAGACATGCCACCCACCCTCCAACCTTTTTTTTACCAGTTCTGACACCAGCCATCCTCCCACAGCGCTGTCTACTTCTGCAATGGCCACACAGAGCTCACAGACAGTACTCAGGATTATGGGGTTTATTAGGGAAGTGACAGGTTACAATTTAGGATCAGAAACAACTCAGGATACAGCTCTTCAGTCAGGACAGCCTCTTCTCAGCTGTGCACAGCCATGCTTCCCTCTGGCCTCAGCCTCCTGGCCCTGCAGCCCATTGGCCTCTGCCCTGCTCAGGCAAGTGTTACAAAGCTCTTTCAGCTCTGCTGATAGGTGCCCAGAGAGTACCCCACTCTGCCAGCAAGCTTCCTGCCCAAAGGCACCCAGCTTTCTTGCTCTGTGATCTGGGAAGCCCACTTATCTTTCTCTTGCAGGTTCTCTTGGTTTTGCTGCCTCTGCTATGACCATTTCTCTGCTGCCATCTCTTACCATCTCTCACTGTCCCTTACGTTCTTAGCAAAGTGTTACAGTTCTCTCTCTCTTTCCTGAGTTGAAGAAGTTCAGTGCAGGGATCTCAGGTCCAAAGGACACACTCTATCTCTGGCTCTTCTTTCTTAATGGTAATGAGATCCCCCTTTCTACCTCTGGGATGGCTCATTTAAGCCTAATGAGATGGCAAAACTGACCAATCCCAATGTTAGGGTTCTATGTACCTTATTTGCACAGTCCTACCCCACAAGGGTGCCATATACTTTATTTACATTATTAACAAGCTATCCAGTCACCTTGGTAGGCCACAAGCACCTCATATTTGAATGATCCCACCTAGTCATCTGGTAGGAGTCACACAGGCCATGGTTGTTGTTATTAGGTGCTGTCGAATAGGTGCTGACTCATAGCGACCCTGTGTACAACAGGGTGAACCACTGCCACATTCATGGTGAGAAGAGCCATATTAAGTAATTCACTATGCTGCACCGCCTGACTCTGACATTTGATGCCATTCAGGAAGTTCTCTGTTCTGGGCAATAGGATGGGAACTGGGATGTGGTTGAAGAATGCAAATAAACAAAAAATAGTAATAAATAAACCCCTCCTGGGCTTTACCTCTGCCTTCTTGGGCCAAGGATGTTGTATTAGACCCTCCACAGCTCAGAATGGAAGCCACATAGGGTGGGAGTTGTTGCACAGTAGATCTGAGTCCGTATAGTTAAACACTGGACTCCTTCATATATTTGAAAAGAACATTGAGTTATACCTTCAAATATTTCTCCTCCTTGTTTCCAGGGTCTGTTTCCAACCCATGAGGCAGGGTTGGTTCAGTGGGAGAATTCTCACCTTCCACGCAGGAGGCCCGGTTTGATTCCTGGACAGCGCCCCTCATGCACAGACACTACCTGTCTGTCAGTGGGGCTTGTATGTTGCTAATGTGCTGAACAGGTTCAGTCAAATTTCCAGACTAAGATGAACTGGGAAGAAAGGCCTGGTGATCTCCTTCTGAAAAAAAAAAAAACCACCCACTCTGGTTAGCAGACAAATGCCTTTGACACTGCTGAAAACCCTGTGGATCACAATGGTCTGATCAGCAACTGATCATGGCGGTGGCACAGGGCCCCTCAGTGTTTCATTCTGTTGTGCATATTGTGTCACCATGAGTTTGGGGCTGACTGGACAGCAGCTACCAACAATATTTCTATCTCAGATAATAAGGAAGAAGAGCTTCCCTGGTTTAACACGCCACGAATAATGGTTAGTGCATATCTGTTGTTACTGTGTTGTTAAGTTCCATCGAGTCGGACCCTACTCATAGCGACCCTTCCTTGGGTTTCCGAGGCAGTGTCACTACAGAAGTAGATTGCCCAGCTTTCCTTCCAAGGAGTGGCTGGTGGGTTTGAACCGCCAGCCTTCTGGTTAGCAGTCAAGTGCTTTAGGCACTATGCTACCAGAGCTCCTGTATATATAGATATATATATATATCTCCAACATTTTATAGATATGAAACATTTTACAGATATCAAACGC